GAAGAGTTTTGTTTTTTTAATGAAAACTATTATGAAAATGTGGACAACTGAACTTAAGATAGGAGAAATGAGAAATGGAAAGAAACCAAAATTGACAATCACCCATCCCTACAAGGCTCTTTGTTCTAGAGGGCCCTCCTTTATCAATGTTTCTTTCCCAACTGTGGTAGCCAGACTGATGATCGGAAACAGCTGCCAGTAGAAGATAATACCGGTTCTAAAGGATCTACATTGGCTCCCAGTACATTTCCAAGCACAATTCAAAATGTTGGTGCTGACCTTTAAAGCCCTACATGGCCTCTGCCCTGCATATCTGAAGGAGCATCCCCACCCACATAGTCCAACACAGACACTAAGGTCTGGCTCTGAGGGCCTTATGGTGATATTTTCAATGTGAGAAGTGAAGTCATAGGGAATCAGGCAGAGCACACCTTCTCGGTAATGGCGCCCACCCTGTGGAACGCCCTCTCATCAGATGTCAAGGAAATAAATAACTATACAACATTTAGATGACACCTGGAGGCAGTCCTGTATAGGGAAGTTTTTAATGTTCAATGTTTGACTATGGTTTTATAATTATTTATTTATAATAAATAATAATAGTAACAACAGCAACAATTTCTCCTTTGCAGGAATGTGTGGGTGGAAAGGAAGTAACTGGGTGGCAGGGCTTTTTAGCAGCTGTGAATAACAACAACAACAACAACAACAAATTTATTTGTATCCCTCCCTCCCTGGCCGAGGCCAGGCTCAGAATGGCTAACATCATAAAAACCACACAATATGCATAAAAACAGACATAATTAATTAAAATACATATTAAAATTAATTCAGACAAGTTAAAATCTGGGCAGGTGGCAATTATCAGGTTAGAACTGAGAGTGGTTAATACTTGCCAGGACCAACTGTTTCCACTGATCATACAAGGGCCTGTGAGCGGGTTGGGGGCTTCCTTCGGGCTTGTTTTATACAAAGGAAACAGATCTTTATGAACCAGATCATTCTGAGTGAGTCAGAAATTCAAGGGAAGCAGATCTGTTTGGTAACATGGCACAGATCCAAACCGAGGAAGTTCATATTTTGAGTCAGAAAGAACAACAGCTGACATTTTGTCCAGGGGAGGAGGCTAACTGGGCAACATAGCATCCTTCCGATTGTATTTCTCAGAGTTTTGAGATGCCTGATACAATTCACCCACTGGCGTTGAGTGAATGGTTTGGGAACCATTTTGCAGCTCAGAAGGCACAGGTGGGCACTCTCTGCATATATACCACCACTGATTTTTTTTTGGGGGGGAAAGCCTTTCAGAATGTCGGTGGGCACCAGCATGAAAGAGGAAACCAAGTGTAAGCACCTTGCCCCCCTCCCTTGATGTCCCTCTCAATGTCTAGACTTTAGGGGTAGGGCCACAAGATGTGTGAATGCCGGGGGCATGAGGTTCTGTAACATGCTCCTCAAGGAGGAAGCCTTTGCAAACACACTGTGGGTGTTTAAATACTCCTTGGTCACACCAGGGCAAGGCATAGGTGAGTTCTACTTGCATCAGACCAAGGCACAAAAGCATGTTGTATTTGCAGTAGATTACAGCCTGACAAAAAGGGTACACACTGCTGTGTGCACACATTTCTGACAAAGCCCACAGAGCTGCTGTGCTCATCTGACAGTTACACAAAGCAAAAACACAAAGAGGAAGCTCCTTCTGGATTAGGAGGGAGCTGAGGGGTGGCAGGACATGAAGTAGGTGTTAGGAGCTATGACTTAATTATTTCTGAAGTGGGAAGAGTGATGGGGGTTTTGTATACGGATAACATGATTAAGTTGCAGTTTATATTGATTTGATAGATTTATACTAAGAATGAGATTACAGCATCAACTTGTAGGAAGCTTTTGTAATAGTGCATTGACTAAAGATTGGTTGGAGATAACAAGTAATGTTTCAAAAGGTAATTGGATCAAATTAATCCCTAGTGCAACTTGAGTATATTTAATAAGGGGATAAGCGGTGCAATAGTTCAGACAACAATTGTCTTCAAAAAAAGAATGACTTGCTCCTCAGTCAAAGCCTTTCCAAGATAACGCCGTAAACATTTGTGGCAGTCGGATCTACAACTAGGGATGGAGGAGGAATTTGCTTTGCATTCAAAGCTACCTAATTCACATTTTCCAAAACAATATGCAAACAAAAGCAGGGTTATCCTTTGAAATTCACACTTTCTCTGAATTTTGCAATGTGTGTGAAAAGTGTCTATTAGGGGAAAGTATGCATGAACACGCATTCAGTAGTGAAGATAATACAAAAAATGCATTATATTGGGGGGGGTATATGGTAGGGAAAAAATTGCACTAAAATGATGACAAATTTTCATGTTCACATAAATAACTAAATAAATAAATAAATAAATAAATAAATAAGGAGAACTGAAGACTGGAAACAGGAGTAACAGAGAGAAACAGAAACTGAGAGATTTGTCCATTCCTAGCTGGACTGGGCCTGGTGGGTTGCAGTGGTCATGCTGGCCCACCCATGCAACCCCAATTGCCCCACCTCTGACTCATCAAAGTATGCAGCCACCCTGGTATCAGGAAGGCTGCTCTGCCCCACCGCACTTGCTGCTAGTGCAGATGATAAAATACAATTTAAAACCATAAAATGCCACAAAGATCTCAAAACAATACTAAAACCAAGAGGACCAACTCTCATCCAGAATAATTTAAAATTATCAAAATCTCGCCACCTGATGATTTTTAGAATGTGGTTTCTGTTGGGGGGAAGAATCATTGTCAGAATATCCTCCTCTTGTTTGTGTTCCTCAGCAAATGGTATTCAGAGGCACACTAGCTCTGATACTCGGAGTAATATGTAGCTCTCATGGCTAATAATAATAATTTATTTATACCCCGCCCATCTGGCTGGGTTTCCCCAGCCACTCTGGGCGGCTTCCAACAAAATGTTAAAAATACAATAAAACATTTAGTCAATAAAATAGTAGTCATTTATATAGCCTTAAAGGTAAAGGTAAAGGTAAAGGGACCCCTGACAATTAAGTGCAGTCGTGAATGACTCTGGGGTTGCGGCGCTCATCTCACTCTATAGGCTGAGGGAGCCGGAGTTTGTCTGCTTCCGCAGACAGTTTTTCTGGGTCATGTGACCAGCATGACTAAGCCGCTTCTGGTGAAACCAGAGCAGTGCACGGAAACGCCGTTTACCTTCCCGCTGGAGCAGTACCTGTTTATCTATTTGCACTGCATGCTTTCGAACTGCTAAGTTGGCAGGAGCAGGGACTGAGCAACGGAAGCTCACCCCGTCGCGGGGATTCGAACCGCCGACCTTTCGATCGGCAAGCCAAAGTGGGCACAGTGGTTTAACCCACAGCGCCTCCCACCATCTCTGAATTTGTCTAATTCCCTTTTGAAGTCATCATCCAAGTTGGCAGACATCACTGCATCTTGTGATAGTGAATTACATAACTTAACTACGTGCTTTGTGAAGAAGTTGGTTGATCCTGAATCTTTGGTTGATCCTGAATTTCTCATCGTTCAAATATTATGAAAGGGTATCATAATATATGGTTTGCACTAAAGGATGGGTGGACGTATGTTCAGTGGAATGCATACAGTCCAATGACTCCTTGGTCATCTTTGTATATGTGCATGGAAAAGGAAGAGGATGTCCCACTTTCTTCTGTAGATATTTCATTCAGTTCCTTTTGACGCATTTGCTTAACACACTGCAGTGACTTGTTGCCCCTTTCCCCATAGGTCATTTAAATGTGAGAAATATACATAACTTGCCACTTGGTAAGAATCATGTTTTGATTCAGACACCACAGGAAAATAAAGCACAGTGTTCTGACATCCGAATGAAGCCGGAGGCTGAAACTTTATTAGCTTTATTAGCATAATGATAATCAAGGAGATGCAAAACAGCTACCCTGCCCAAACCCAAGCTTGTCATGTAGTAGGATTAATTTTGACCGCATGCCTCAATGTAGTAATTAAAAGAAGGGTTTATTTAAGAATCGACCATAAGCAAAATTAGAGACATGTGCAAATAGCCTCTTGAAATTCTCCACCCTAATTGCGGACCATGAAGTTTCACCATTTCAGCAAATTTCTCTAAGTGGAGGAGAAATTCACCAACAGCTTCTTTCTTTTCCTGCTAAAATGATGAAGATGATTGTTATTATTTGCTGTCACCACAACTGGTAGCAGTAGTGACTGTGTTGGTGAGCCGGCTACCATTCTGAATCCTCCACAATGCCTCAAAGCAAGATTTAGCCCAAGACAATAGTGTGTATCTATGTGTGAATGGCAGCTGCCACAAAAATGGTGGACAGTATTCAGAGAAAATCTGGCAAAGAGGCCTTCTATTTCTTGCTGGATTGAGAAGTCGAAAAATCTCAGGCATTTTATCAGAAAAATAAAATCTTTTGAAAATTTTAAGTGTGGTTCTAGTTTAAAAGTAAATGCTCAGCAACTAAATAAAGGTAAAGGTAAAGGTACCCCTGACCGTTAGGTCCAGTTGCGGACGACTCTGGGGTTGTGGCGCTCATCTCGCTCTATAGGCCGAGGGAGCCGGCGTTTGTCCGCAGGCAGCTTCCTGGTCATGTGGCCAGCACGACTAAGCCGCTTCTGGTGAACCAGAGCAGTGCACGGAAACGTTGTTTACCTTCCTGCCAGAGTGGTACCTTTTTATCTACTTGCACTTTGACATGCTTTCGAACTGCTAGGTGGGCAGGAGCTGGGACTGAACAATGGGAGCTCACCCCATAGCGGGGATTCGAACCGCCAACCTTCCGATCGGCAAGCCCTAGGCTCTGTGGTTTAGATCACAGCACCACCCGCGTCCCTCAGCAATTAAATACTTATCGCCAAAAAGGCATCCCTAGCACCTTGGCACTATTTACTAGAACAAAAGACCTCGATGCTTTGTGGTTTGCCTCAGGCAGCAAAACATCTTGGGCTGGCTCTGGCAGGAACAAGTTGGAGGAGGGTCCAAGGATTTCAGCCAGGGAATCTATCTCAGTCTGGGATCTTCTGCATGCAAGGCAGATGCCCTGCCACTGGGCTACAGCTCTTCCCTATTGTTGTCATGTTCACAACATAGGGATTTTGGACTGTGTTCACTTAGCCACCAGAACATGATTTGTTATTGGAATTTTTCCAGGTTTTCCAAAAGTACTTAAACTACAGTTTGCTCTTTTGAATTCACAGTCTCTGTCCTTGGCATTCTCTCATCATCAGAAGCACCACCTGGCTGTCCTCTCAGGGCCATTTCCTGGAGATGCTCTGTAATTGAGCAGAAGTGGAAATAAATCCCTGCTTTCCAGAATGCCCTCTGCAGTGAGAAGAGCTGCCTTAGTTTTGCCATTACCTTCAGGACGACGTGGGCTGCTGCTGCTATGTGGCGAAAGGTATAATTGTGTGCAAATGACAAATTCTTTGATCTCCTAAAAGCCACTCAAATGCAGTGAGACTTTATGGCTTTTTTAAAAAAAAAAACGAGTTGAGTCTAAACTTTCATTTCTCTAGGCAAAATGGTCTGCACATTCTTCAGGAGTATCAGCTTCCGATGTGTTTTATTTCTCTGTTTCCCCAGAAAACACTGGCTTGGCTTTGTAGCCTGAACACGCATGAGTGTTCTCAGTGATTAGGTAGGAGGAAAGGCTCTGTTTTTGAAATGAGCCCTGTTAAAGAATATTGCTGCTGTGGGACATTCTGACTGCATGTTTATGCTGTAGTCCAGATGTGTCTTGCATTCTGTCATTTTTCTGCAGTCAGGATTGATATCTCAGGCAAACATGATCCAGCCTCTGTTAGGTGTAGTCAGAGTTATTCATGTCTCGGCGGGGGGGCGGGGAGGTCTTATCAGGATAAGGAATGGAGGAGAAATTCAGTTCAGTCAACATTTAAAGGCAGGGGTCAGCAAACTTTTTCAGCGAGGGGCCAGTCTACTGTCCCTCAGACCTTGTGGGGGGCTGGACTATATTTTGAAGAAGAAAAAAATGAACGAATTCCTATGCCCCACAAATAACCCAGAGATGCATTTTAAATAAAAAGACACATTCTACTCATGTAAAAACACGCTGATTCCCGGACCCTCCGCAGGCCAGATTTAGAAGATGATTGGGCCAGATCCGCCCCCGGGCCATAGGTTGCCTACCCATGTTTAAAGGCAAACTTCCTTAATTTGCACTTCCTGAAATAATATAGCTGAAATGCAACCATCCTTTGAAATTCTCTGAATTTTGCATTGCAGTTCTCCAGTCATGCAATGTGCTAAAAAAGCATTCACTAGGGGAAAATGTGCATACAAATGCAGATTTTTTTAGGGCGGAATGCATTGAATTAGGGGAGATTGCTTGCAAAAATGTGTATATTGTGAAAATTTGCATTTAAAATATGTATAGTAGGATAAATTTGCTCTAAGTTTCATATAAATTTTCATGACAACTTTAAAAATGAATGATCACAAACATATGTGGAAGGGTGCAGAACCAAACTTAAAGATTGGAAAAATGAGAAACTGACAGATTCACCTGTCCCTAATTATAATATTTGTTTTGTCAAGAGTGGTCCTTAAACAACCACTGAGTATAAGGTTGGAGCTGGAAACCAGGGGTCAGAAGCCAGGAGTAACAAACAGATACTTGCATGCCAGGCAGCAGGACCTGGGAATTAGATATGGCAGCTGCTGCTGTTGACTGAGCAAAGTCCAAGCCTGACTTCCTTCCAAATCAGAGCAAGTCAATAGATGTGTGAGCAGAACCACTGTGATGTCTAGGAATTTCCTGGGGAGAACTGCAGTTTGCTATGTCTTGGAACTTCCAGGGGACACTGCTGGCTGTGGTACCAGTGGCTCAGTCAATGGGGAAGCCCTACCCGTACCCCATTCCCAACAAATGCATCCAAGGAAAAGGAAGGGGTTTTAGATATGGATGGGGGATAGCAATCACATCACACATTTTCAAGAAAAATTCAAAAGAATTGAATTTCCCAAATGGTGAAGATACCCTGCCAAACAATAATGAGCTTTGTTGGGTGCAATGGTCATGTGCCCATGTATGTCAATGGGAACTTAATTGCAAGTAAGGAGTTAACATTTAAGAACTTCTGTACAAGTTTCTCCAAAGCTCTGAGTACCGTGTTTGCTGAAGAGTAGCCCACATGTGTTGAAAATCTTCCTTGGTAATCCAAGCCATGAAAATATTCTTGGGAAATTGTGTTTGAATCGCAGTACAGCCTATTATAAGTTGGACAAATTTGTATGCTGAAATAGGAAATCACACGTTTTGGTTATATCAGTTTTGCACAGTAAGATCTCACTAATCATGCTGAATTTCAGTGTTTACAGTTAAGCTGGTATGTAGTACTTTAAGCTTTTATTAGCTAATATTTAACAGATACTTTCAGCCCCCCATGTTTAATTTTTGTATCTTTGCCAATTTCAGTGCGGGGAGAGACAGAGACAGAGAGAGGGAACACATAATAAGGGAGTAATATATTGTAAGAGGAAATCTTGAATTGATCAGGAAGAACTATGGGTCATATGGAACATTTTGAAAAAATACCTGGAGCAAAAGAGTAGTTGCTCAAAAGTTACTGTGGGAAGATGGTTGCAACCCTCTCAAAAAACCCAACAACTGTGAAAATAGTGTTTGAATAATTTCTCAGCTTAAGGCTACAGTTGCTGCCCTTATTATTATCATTCACTCCATATCCTACTGTAAGATTGATTCCGTTGTTCAGATGGGCCAACTTTAGAGAATTTAAAAGACACAGAAAATGTCAAACATGTGCTATAGCAGCACAAAAAAATTGCACGGGCTGCAGCTTTTATTATTGAGTTCTGGTTCAGTATGGTGATAACAACGTTGCCCTACTGCCTCTCAACAAAGACTGTTGCATTGACTTCCAGAATGGCATCACTGATTACTGAAGCTCAGCAGAAACTGTGACCAAACTTGCTATTCTTTACATCTCAGATCCCTTGCCTCGTTGGTATATAGGAAAAGCAATTAAGATCCTATGACCTGCAATCTTATGGCCCCTGTCAGGTTCCAGATTCCACTGGATGCCTCTGATCTTGCTTTCTGAGGCCTGAGAGAGTGTTTCAGCCTCAGAAAGCTGAACTCCAATGTCAGATTCCCCCTCTACTCTACTCCTGCAGCCTACTAGCCTAGTGCAGAAAGGTGAAATTTAAATTAGACCCTCTCAGGTGTCAGGGTTAGCAGAGGGGGCCCTCTTCATAGTTTTGACACCCTCAGAAGTTCAGTGTGTGAGAGTGTGTGGTCCAGAAGAGGGCATTCTCTGTGCCAACAACTACATTGTGGAATTCCCTCCCCACAGAGATGCATCTGACTTCTTCACAATACAGCTTTCAGTGAATTACTCTGGCCTTTGATCCGTGAGGTGTGTGTTTTCAGGACAAGCCCTGTTCCTGTGACTGTAATGTGATTCAACTGTTTTTAATTCTGAATTTTAAATTGTGGCAACCTTAGCCTGGTGCCTGCTGGTCACTGGTGGGTAATATTTTTTTACAACAAATCTACAACTACAGGAAGCTGCTTTCTACTAAATCAGACTTTTGGTCCATCTAGTTCAGTATTGTTTCCTCTTACAGGCAATGGCTTTCCTAGGCTTTAGGCTTGAACTTTTCCAAGGCCTGCCTGGAGACACCAGGGACTAAACCTCAGGGCCAGCCCAAGACATTTTGTCACCTGAGGCAAACCAAAAAATGCCTCTGCACGCAGCCATGGAAGAAGAAGTGAATGAAGAATGACATCAAGAACAGTTGGGAGGAGTGGATCTGCATCAGGAACAAGGGCAGTGCCTTCTGTTCACCAGAGGCTGCTGTAAAGGCAGGGAGGCTGCCAAGGAGGCAGCAACAATATTCCTTGAAGGTTGAACCTGTTGCCCCTGTGGATTCTGCCGCCCAAGGAAGTCACCTCACCTTGCCTCATGGGTGCACCGACCCTGATGAACCTGGTACCTTCTGCATGCAGGACTGAGCTATGCAGGGCTTCTACCACTGAGCTATGGTCCTTCACCTACAGCCCTTCACCTTTTTTAAACAAACAAACAAGCAAACAAACACTCACTTCAAGTTACCTATTTTTAATAGCATTATCAGTTGCTTCTCAGAACCCAACCACATTTCAGTCTTGCACTGAAAACTCTCAGGCTAGCAGAGTTCCAGTCCAAACCCAAAAGGGCAGTGGTGGGATTGTGGCTTTTCATTCTTTGCATTGAGCATGTAACTATGAATGATTCATAGCACTTCTTGCTCTGTGACAGTTTCATTATGAAAAGTTTATTCAATTATCAATAGTGTGCCCTACTCCATTAAGAAAATCATATTGTGATATTGACTATAACTTGTGAATGAAGTTGTCAGTGTCAAGACAATCCACTTGGAATCCCAAACATCTGTTTCATTATGCTGATGGACTTGGCTATTGACATGTTTAATGCAATATATTTTTTCCCTGAGGGCATATTGGCAGTTTCTTCTCCATCCATTTAAACCTATTTGACGTTACTAGTACATACAAATGTATATTCTTTCCTGTTGATGTCTATGGTCTGGTTATATTTTAGGAGTATTGCTAAATTAGGATAGGGTGCCCACTGCAATGAAGTAGATTAATTTACCTCAAAGCCATTTCCTATTATATATGCATGACAAGAAACAACAATGATCATGACATGTAAATTATATCTGGACGTTCCAAGTAATGGCATTTATTATCTTCTGTTAATGTTAGTTGTTTCCAGTTTGCCTAAGCACATTAAAAACGTATTAGGATATTATGCAAACACTTAACATTAACATATTTTACAGCATATTTCTTTCTTTCTTTCTTTCTTTCTTTCTTTTTAAAAAAATCCGTTTTAGATTAAAATCCATTACTGCTGCGGATGTTTTATTATCTTTGAATAATACAAATTGATTTCTGAAGTATAAGGTAGAAAAGTTCAAAGGAAGATTAGAAGTCAATAATAATAATAGTAATAATAAAACAATAATAATGTACTCATGTCCTGCTTGTCAACCTCCCACGGACATCTGGTT